CCGGTTGGGACGGTAGACAGACGTCTGGGCTATGGAAGAGAAAGAAGCCTATTCCGAGGACTGGGTTCCTGCGGCACGCAGAGCAAATAGCTGACTACGCACAATCTGATGCGCTTGAATGTACCGCGATGCGTCAAAAGACGTGGCTTGGAAGGCTACCAGTTGACAGGATAGTCCGGTCCTCCGCTGAGGACGGAAAGTCAGGCTGAAATGGCTCCTCCTTAATGTGGTCTCCATGGCACTCCCATTCAGCTGGGATCCCTGCCGATCACTCCTTGTGTCTGTGAAATCCTGGTTCATCGCGGGCAGACCAGGCGTGTTTAGCATGCGTAGCCGGGCTGGCTAGCCTCGTCAGCCTCCGGTCCTCGCGACTGTCTCATCACCGGGCTCAGGTGGGGGATGATGAAAAAATGAGTGTGTCAGGTGCCGCGTGGGTCTGCTATCAGCACAGACCAATGCACGCGTAAGTCACCGACCTTGCGCCACGGCAGACATCATCGTTTGTGACGGTCAAACTAACAGGGTTGCGATGATGGCACTCACCGGGCGTTTTCCCATGTGCCGAAGCACTTCCGTCATTGTCTAAGCCGCAGTCTGATAAAACTCGAGATTTTTGTCAGTATAACGGGCGAACTACCAAGAAAGAGGACCAAGTGTTACCGCCTTGAAACCAACCTTTCAGTTAACGGATCAGGCACGAGTGTGTACACTGACACTCCAATTGTGAAAGTATGATTTGGTTCAGAAAGATAGGTCCAAACCGTGTGGACGAATGAGGTCCTCACCTACCAATGCTGCTTAGCTCCAAATTGCGTAGGCCATCGAACCCGGCAGCAAGTAAGCTTGAAGCGAGGCGTATCGGATTTTAATAACAAACCAATCCAGGGAGAGAGATAGAGAGAGAGGGGAAGGATTCGTTTAATTTTGAAAGTATAAATTCAAAATTTCCAGCAAAAAAGGAGATTTATACACTGCGGACAGAAAATAAGATAAATGAGTAGCTTCAAAAACTTACGTGATTGGAGAGCTAGGAAAATGGCGGCTCAATTTTGAAAGCCAGCCAACGGGTTGAATTACAACCGACTGATGAGTAGGTTTTACGATGAACTAGACGCACTTGTCTAGCCCTTAGACCCCAGAGAACATCTTGGGGCTTTCAGCCATGCAGACTCAAGGTCACGACCCCGAAAGGCGCGAAGATAATTTGAAGCCGTTTGCTTTAAGAAGCTGGGAGGAGGGATTTTAGATCTATGCGGACTTAACGCACAGCTCAAAATGTTAACATTAAACTCAGTAAACACAAAAGTCGCCAGGGAAATGCAGAGCAGAGACCTAGTTGTAAATGAGTAAGTCTTTACTAAATCCTGACATGAAACGCTAAAACGGAAAGGCCTGAAAACCTCAATAAACAAGGGAGGGGCGGCAAACTCCTTGACGGCCCAGGCGCGGCAGATCAAGGGGGTCGTGCTCACAAAAACACCGGCGTAAGCATTTCCGAAGTCTACTGAAACCACTGTTATCGTCGGCGATCTGACGTGAAGCAACCAGGGGAGGCGCGTGTAAGACGCTTGGAGTAAGCAACCCCCTAGATGCCTATTAATTGGTGTCAACACTCCGGTAAAAACAGTTGTCCGGCGAACTGAACCAGTATAGTGCGTGACCGATCTCATGAAATGCTGGCCGAAAGTCTGGAATACGTTTTCGATTAGGGAGAATTACCTATATGAGGTTGTAATCCTGATTATCATGCGATATAACGCCATAGTACTGCAGACTCCCCAGGGTGTCAGCTCTTGAATGCCCCTCTTTTTAACCTCTCAAAGAAACCATACTTGGTAAAAAAATGACTACTTAAGTAGCAGGCATTTTTCACACTGATTTTCGATGGTCTTATAAATTCAAATGTATTTTATAGGAAACATGCACAAAATATGCTTTATTTTACTCATCTGGTAGAAAATCGCGTTGTATCCATATTTAATACCTGAAGAAAGTGAATATTTAGGTTTTAAAAAAGTTCCCTAGTTCCCGAATAATTTTGAGCCCGATCTGGCCATCGCATTAGCGTTAAGCGATTTAAGTCCATAAGGCGCATGCTTTCCGCGTAAGGAAGATCACGTATTCCTCTATGCCTTTAAGAAGATACCATATAGAGTTCATGAAATTCTGCGATGGATCCGGACTGTGTTGTACATTTCATGAGCAGCATTAGTAAACGAACATGTGCGATGCTGTATGTATGGACACCACACGGTCTTGAAACTCTCAAAATTAAAAACTTTTTTAAAACCAAAATATGCACTTTCTTCAGGTATAAAATATGAAGACAATGTGATTTTCCACCAAATGAGTAAACGGAAGCATATTTTTGTGCATGTTTTCTATAAAATATATTCGAATTTATAAGACCACTGAAAATCGATGCGAAAAATTCATGCTACTTAAGTAGCCATTTTTTTACCAAGTGCGGTTCCCGCAGGTCAAAAAGAAGGGCATTCAAGAGCTAACACCCTGGAGAGTCTGAAGTACTATGAGATTATGTCGCAAGATGATCAGTATTACAACCTCACCTAGGTAATCTTTCCTAATCGAAAACGCATTTCAGAATTTCAGCCAACATTTCATGAGATCGGTCACGCACTGTAGTTTGGTGGAGCGTTATGCACAAGGAATAAGAATGAAAGCTCACTAACCAAACACAATTCTGGCATGGAGGATGAAAACTAGCTCTAATTTAGGACGAAGTACCGCAGCGTTACACGCAAGAGTTCTCCGAATTTGTTCAGCATTCATAGCGAGTCTGGATTTCCTAAACAAAACCGAACTGCAAAATTGACCCTTTGTGGTGGCAACCTCTTCCGTCCTCTATCCGAGACCACCAGGTTTATATCTTAGGTTGGATAGGCTGCTGCTCGTTGACAATGTCCAGCAATACTCAACAATTTATGCAACTTATTCACCCCGAACCTATCACGTAACCACATGCAATCAGAAGTTTCGAACTATGTAGAAGCTGGTCGTCAACTCAGATCCATGGTCACTGAATCGATACCACGGAGTTTGCCGGATCTCGTCTTTCTGAGATGATTTCTTTTCCGCGGTGTAAACCAGCCGAAACTGCACCCTCCAATGAGCGCAAGCAAACATGCTTTCAATCGTGGGGGGCGCTCACCGATCGCTCTTACGGAACTCACTCGTTCTGTTGTGCCTTACGGGCTCTCTCTCGAGCCCAACCAGCAGCCGCACATCAGCGCATGATGTAGGCAGAATGATATTACAGACAAAGACAAGGGAGACTACAATGGCTATTTCTGGCTTATTAGCCGCCGTCAGCCAGTCATACCCAACCCCGAAGTGTGACACACCCGAGGCTCGAACTCGCGACCTAAGAGTCCATAAGACACAACGGAATAAGTGAGTTCCGTAAGCACGATAGGTGAGCGTCCCCTATCATTGTATATTCCCGATCAAAAACCGACAGGGCAACGGGCTCGTGGCCCAGTGGTTAGAGGCGTGGACTTAACAAACAGGTCGCGAGTTCGAGCCCCGGGTGTGCAACATTTCGGGGTTGGGTATGACTGTCTGACGACGTCTAATAAGCCAGAAAAGGCCATTCCAGTCTCCCTTATCTTTGCCGGTAATATCATTCTGTATACTTCCAATCCCTGTACCATATAGGCAAGTCCGTCTCCTTATAGTCTGTAGGATGGTGGCAAGTCGTCACGGAGGCTGACGTCGGTGCCCAGGTAGCCAAGTGAAGGCGTGAGTAGGAGGCCGACATCAAATGCATCCAAGGCTCCGCGCCTTCAATGCTGTTGGCACGTCGCTCACGGGGCTGCGAATGAGAGCAACCCTTCGCCAACCAAACGAGTTGTTATGCCCTGTCCAGTATGACAAGAAAAACAACAGCAAGGGGGTGCCTGCACAGCGGTGAAGTGTCTACAGCCTCGAATATTGTACCAAGCCAATTTTGCCTTGTTTAATTTCAGAGAGAGTTATTGCGGGGAATTGGGGCAAATTCTTCAGCACAGACCTTCTTAAACAGGGCCCGAAAGTTAATATGGATATTTGGACTGAAATCCATCAGTTGCTGCGGAATAACCGCCTTAGTATTCACAAACCGCCAACAGGCAGCCAGTAGTAAACAGCTGTGCAATTACTTACCAACCTGACAACACAGGCACTAGCTAAAAGCCCATGCACGCGTGTTTCGACGATCTTGTGCCGCTGCCTGACGCAGCTGCGAGGGGTTCGGTTCATCGGTGGGTCCCCCAGCCTTCCCCGTGTTTTCCGGTACATAAACTCCAGGTCCACTTTGCCGTGTTTGATTTCCGAGGAAATTAATGCGCAAACTTGGAGTAAATAAGTCACGGTCTGGAAGTTGGTGGGAATATTTGAGCTAAAATCCATCAGCCAATTTTAACCAAGTTAACGACAATTTGGGTGCTGTCGACACAGATCTAAGTCCTTCGCTCATGGTAAATAATAACCAATCCCTATCACTTCTAGAACCCAATCACAACGTACACACTGAGAAGAAAAAGCTTCCACATTCTTTTCTCTTCCTGTTGAAAATGGGGCGTGAAAAGGATGGACAAGGTAGTCATAGTGGACGCAATGCACAGCATATTTGCTCGTAGAACTGGTGTGTGCGTATAAAAAGTTCATGAACTTTCTGTTGAGACAGTCAGAGGTGGAAGTGAGGATATATACGTGGAGGCATGGTAGCCAACTGGCTGGAGGTGGAATTTGGAGCGACGATGTGTAGATAGTAAACAAATGGGGGAGGCAGGAGGGGGGAGTGGCAGGGTGGTAATGAAATGCCTCCAGAGTGGCTCTGGACACGAGGACGAACTTTACATAAGGGGAGGCCAAAAAGTTAAGCTGGCCACGGCGAGGGAGGCAAACACAGTAAAAAAAACCACCTGACGGTGATTGAGGCGGACAGAGGACCAACGACAGCGTCGATAGAGGTCCCCGGGGGAAAGCTGAGCTCCTGGCTAATTGTCCAACTCGTCGCGAGGGTAGAATCGGAGGACTTTGGGTACTTCCCAGGGGAACTCGCTTCGACCAAAATGTCCGTACACTGCCGTCTTCTGGTAGATGGGTCTCTGTAAGTTCAGCTCCCTGCGGAGACAGAAACAGGGACTTTTGTTTGAATCAAGACAACAACCACCACCACCACCACCACCACCAGGGGTGGTACACACCTGCGTCAAAATGCTGCAGTCTGCCAGTGGTACTGCAAGAACTCAAACTGATCTCAACAGATCGACTGTTCAAGTAGGCCGGCAATAATAACAATTGTCCAGCGCAATGCGCACAGGGTAGCTTTATTGAGCCCGCCCCTAACAAGTGGGAGAAGGTGCAGTTTTAGTGCAGTTTTTCAGTGACTTTTGAGTTTCCTAAGCCGAAACATATGACGCTCTAAGATTTCAGCTTTAAACTCATTTTGCAGGAAAGTATGTGAATATTTGCCACTTTAAAGAACGTGCTTCGGATTTGACGAAGTCCGTAATTGTCAAATATTATACGAGAAACAGGAGAGAAAGCTCTTGTGAGGACACTCGTGTGGCCCCTTCTTCAAGTATAATAGATTTCAATAAGATGCAGAGAATAAATCGGAATTATATGCACTACTCAAGTGGGGATCGTTTCAGGAGTGGACTGAGTAGCGTTCAAAAATTTGCCAGAAAGTCCACCTTCTACATAGAAATACACTAATTTATCCTAGTATTGTCACTAAACAGCAGACAATAGACACTGGAACGGCCTTATCTATCTTGTCAGCCTTCATCAGTCAGCCATACCTAACCCTGAGATTCGAACTCGCGACCCGCCCCTAACCACTGAGCCAGGGGTCCATTGTCCTGTCAGCTGGAATAGGGTATAATAACAATGGTAGAGGGGCGCGCACCAATCCGGTTAAGGAACTCATCGTCCCGTTGTGCCTCGGAGCTCTCTCTCCCGAGCCCCGCCAGCAGCCACACAGCTGCTAGAAGTTCGGTAACTGTTTCACGAGTTTTGGCACCTAACTAGGGCGAGGACAGTGGTCACATCGTCAGGGAACCAGTGGCAACATTAGAGTGGTAGAATACTTTCGGACAACGTGCAGTAGATGTGATATCTCATGAAATGTTAACCGATTTTCTGAAATATGACTTCGATTTGAAAAGACCACGTAAATAGGGTTGTAATATTAATCATTGTGCAGCATTAACACAAGATATTTCAGTCACATCAAGATGTCGGCCTTTGAATGGGCTTCTTTTTGACCGTCCACAAACGCTGCAATGGCCACTTAAGTAGCATGACTTTTCCCCACTACTTCTGATGCTTTCAATAAATTCAGACATAGTTTAGAGAAAAAGTGTGCAAGAAATATTTTAACTGCACTAATTTGGTAGAAAATTTCGTCTTCTTTACATTTTATTTTCAAAGAAAGGGTGTCTTTCAGTTTCAAGTTTCTAATTACGAGATATTTAAAGACCGAGAAATGTCCATTGATACAGCACCACATCCGCACGTTTATAAATGCTACGACCTGGTCCATATCCATTGCACAATTTTATGAGTCCCGTGTGACGTCTTCCTAGAGGCATAGAGAAGTGAATGATATTCCTTTGACGGAATGTGTGCAGCATGTGGTTTGAAAACCGTGAATGCAAGCGTAAGGGCAGGTAGAACAAAAAATTATTCTGAAAACCGAAAGAAACTCTTTCTTCAAGCAACCAAATTTGAACATTCATATTGACCCAACTGTGAAAAACTCGGTGCCTCGGTGGGATGCGAACCCACGCAGTAAGGGGAAGGCTTAAGTACAGCCAACGCTCTAACCACTTGAGCTACGAGGCCCCGCCGGACGACGCGAGTTTAATCCCATTTGGGTCAATTTACCCGCTGAACCTACTGCAACGTCTGGAATCCACCAAATCTGATACAGTAAGTTCACTGCGTCAAGTTTTTCACAGTTGGATCAATATGAATTATTCAAGTCTGCCAAAATATCTATGAATTACGTAAACCTGGTAGTCATCTGGTGGATTCTAGGTGAATTACTTAGGAAATCCTGCTTGGGCAGTCAACTTACTGTATCAGATTTGGTGGATTTCAGACCTTGCAGTAGGTTGGGCGGGTAAATTGACCCGGTGGGACCTCGTAGCTCAAGTGGTTAGAGCGTTGGCTGTACTAGGGCCATCCCCTTACTGCGTGGGTTAGAATCCCACCGAGTTTTTCACAGTTTGTTCAATATGAAGTGTAATTTATTTTTCTTGCCACCCGCACGTTTTACTTGTACCCCGTTCTCGTATGACTGTACCGGCCCGACGAGAATTCATGCTACCGACTTCACAGGACGAGAAAACAACCAACACACACAGGGAGGGACTATGAGAAAATGAGCAGGTGTTATGGCAGATTTCAAATAATTCACTTTGACCCAATTGTGAAAAACTCGGCACCTCAGTGGGGATTCGAACCCACGGGGGCGAGGGGTGGCTGTCAACGCTTCAACCACTTGAGCTACGAGGCCCCGCCGGACGACGCGAGTTTAATCACATTTGGGTTAAGTTACTCGCGTTGAGCGTTGGCTGTACTAAAGCCTTCCCCTTACTGCGTGGATTCGAATCCCACTGAGGCGCCGTTTTTCACAGTTGGGTCAATATGAATTATTCAAAATGAAAAGTCGGCATCCTGAAGTGACTGAAGTATCCTGTGATTTTGTCTAGGTTTTAATTAGCCTAATCGACTTCCCAGTTAATCACTAAAGAGGCGGCACCAACTAGGATGCCGCAGACGGCCTTTCCTTTGGGGTCGGCAAAATGTGAGCGAACCATCTGAAATGGAGGTTCCTTAGCGAAAGTATCTACAGTTTCAACCTCCTTTACCGCAGTTAAACAGTAGTACGGTGTGGAAACTAGGGCAAAAGGACTGGAAGCAGTGGCTGATTACACAGCTTCCACATCCTTGCGTACTTTAAACCGACAGGAACCAGACCTCGTTCATACCGGCGAAATCGACCATGAGGTCATACGGGGAAAAAGGCCACTGTGACCTATATTTTCAGTCCGCGAGTCGAGGTATCTCGCTGACTGGCAACACTCCAAATCAGGACTTTTTGATAATCATTATAGTCCAAATGTGCGCCACTTGGTCTCCAGTGGGCAAATGTCGAACACAGAATTGGATTCACGCCCTCCTCCTTTTGTCATTTCTGATATTTCTTTGGGAGGACTGGATCATGAAAACCGATGCGCCCTGGTTGGTCACGGCCGAAACTGGCCTCGCACAAATGCAGCGGGGGGTCTGACTGACTGTCGTGATCACCAGTGTCGCGGAGGCATGGATAAACTGGGGGGCGCAAGCTGGAATTCTATGCGACTCTCAATTCACTAAAGCATGCCACATACCTCCCCCCATAGGGCACCACAGAGACTGCCAGCGGAATGCACGGTCGTCTAGTGCTTGATTGGTTTCTGGATCGAGAATACCTCCTACGGTCGCGCCTCACCGACAAAAAATATCGGAACACACAGAGCACTGGCTGGTGGCAGCGACAGATGACCCTCTTCCGCCAGAGACCTGGATCAGGCGACTTCACTCTCAGGTTGGACGTCAGCGGCACGGGTGAGGAGGCCCCTGATCGCTTGGGTCTGCCAAACTCAGATTGGAAGGTCAGAGCCCACCCACATGAACTAATAACGGTACAATGGTTCCATTCTCTGCTTATATTTGCAAACAAAGCAGCCGCTGGTAGAGGGGAGCTCACCGATCGTTCTTACGGAACTCACTCATTCCGTTGTTCCTTACGGGCTCTCTTTCTCTCGAGTGCAACCACCACCGAAAGGGGGCGGGGAGCAGTAATAACTTTCGAGTGGACTGGGTTATGGGAGGAGGTATAATGTCTGTGTACGTTTTACGATAAAAAGGTAGGTGTGGTGGAAGTCTTCGCTGCGCTGACGTCGCGGGGCCACGGTGGACCTCTTGCTTTTGACCTTAGAATCGTCGTGCGAAAGGGTCGTTGCGGCACGCGTAGACGGGTCGTTTCGTTTTCTCGTCTCGACGTCGTCTTTCTATGGGCAAGTGATAAGGGTGCAGTAGATTCTGCACAATGCTGCCTTACTGTAAACTAATTCGTATGGAAGTCACCGATGCTGCGGCCATTCTGTTGAACGCACGATAGAGGCTGTCGCCCCTGGCGGCCGAACCACTGTATGTGATAGAGAGACTGGCAGTAGACTCGTTTTTTTACTGATAAATCTGACGCGTCTTCAGGCCATCATAGCACTTTAAAATCCATGCCTTTGAAGGTCACCAGCTAACGAGATCTAAGGTCCTCCTCTAGACTGCGGGTCGGATTGTAATGGCTCGTAAATGTGGTCACTGTGGCAGCTCTCATTGGTTGAAGGGCTCCAGTAATCCTCATCCTGTAGAGCGGAGAACTGGCCTTTGCGTGTCACACGCAGACGGGACTTCATGCCTACCTCCAGCCGTCTTGTCGCCGGAACACGGTGGAGTAGTAAGAAGGGTCGAGGTAGATGCTTCGCAAGTCAGCTTCGTTACGATCCAGCCCACACGCCTTTCATTGCTGCCTCCTCCTAGAAAAGCGATGGTTGTGGTTGCCTGCGACGAACGAACTGTCAGTGGGGAAGGCTTACTCCTCTCTGCCCTTCCACTCCCATGGGGATTCAGTAATATGACTGTGGTAGGGGGCGCTCACCGATCGTTCTTACGGACTCTCTCGAGTCCAACCACCAGTCGCACAGCGGCGCATGATATAAACAAAATGTTATTACCGACAAAGACAATGGAGACTGGAATGGCCATTTCTGGCTTATTAGCCGTCGTCAGCCAGTCATACCCAACTCGGAGAGGTGAAACACCTGGGGCTTGATCCCACGACCTTTTTGTGAGAAGCCCAACGCCCCTAATCACTGGGCCACCGGCTCGTTGTCCAGTCGGATTCGATCCGGGATGTACAATGGTGGAGGGGCACTCATTGATCGTTTTTACAGAACTCACTTGCTGTTGCACAACTGCAGTTACACCTAGCTACCCAGCAGACCTCGATTGGCACGTTCTCAGCTACTCCAACGCCAACTTATGCGAAAGAACCTACTCCTGTGATATCCTTCTAGTCTGAGTTAAATGGAAGAGATGGTACTTCTCGATTACGCGGTGAGTACTGATCACCGGGGCACTAACTAATGTGACGAAACAAACTGTTCGAGTGAAATCTAAAAATTTCGGTTGGGCGCTGCGTCGGATTTCATCCCGAGGATTGGTGATATGATCTTGCTATCTCATTGGAACGGGGATGGTGACGCGGCAGTGCAGTTTGTTCTCCCTGCAAACTAGCCAGCATACGAATGGCTGTCATTTAAACAGGTGATTCTTGCCGAGCACGAGGGTAGAACCATCCTCGGGAATTGTGGTGGTTCCCACCACAAGATCCACAAAATGGCAATGATTGAACTGTAAACTGTGGCATTCAGCTGCGGAGCTTCTTCTGTGCAATGTCGACTTACAAATGGTACGCGTTTGGCATCAGGGACCTATCGTGGGTGGTGTCTTCGACTGGCGTTCCGCAAACCACGATCAGATCTGGTGAGTTCTCAGTAGGCATGTGGAGGATCAGTGGTACCGAAACTATTCCTCGTCCCACAACCACAACAACATATGGATGCTCTGGATTAGAGGCTGGGTATAAAGATCCACAATGTGAATTGGTACCAAAACTAGCAGTCGGTCGCAGACCAATAGAGAAGTAAAAGGGCAACGCGATGAGAAATGCTGGCAAAAACACGACAAAAACTCACTTGATTATGACGCCAGGTCGGAGGTCAAAGTTGTCATGGACAATGCGCAGGAGTTCCGAGTCCGGCATCTTGCCGGTACCATAGCTGTCTACGTAGACGGCCAGTGGCTCGGCTATGCCGATGGCATAGGAAACCTGCACCAACACCCGACGACAGAGGCCTGCCTTGACCAGGGACTTGGCCACCCACCGTGCTGCGTACGCCGCTGAACGGTCCACCTTGGAGGGGTCCTTGCCGGAGAAGGCACCACCGCCGTGTGCACCCCAACCGCCGTAGGTATCAACAATGATTTTGCGTCCTGAAGAAGGGGCAAGGCAGGGCAATTATGCCAACACGAGGGGGAACAGTTTTCGCTGTACAGAGAGGGGACAACAATCCTATCAGTCAGCTCCGAAGCACTACATGGTAGTTAGAGCATTCTCACCGATGGAGACAATCACTGCCCTAGGTGTGCAGTGATGACCCGAGAATGAATAAGTTTGTAGACTTTCGCAGCGCCTGTGCGGCGGCCCACGCGAACGAATCAGTGTCTACGCGTGCCTCACACGTGCTGGCCGCTGCAGGTGAGTGGGCCACTCGAATCTCTTATCGATGATGCTGCGGCCTGGGAGGCGATAAAAACGAAGAGGAACTCTAGTCCGACTTTCGGTCCTGTGGATGACTCGGCTACTGCCTCAGTTGAGAACCCTCCAAGCCACAGTATTTAGCGCACTGGGTTTACTAATATTAACGAATTCAAAGGTGGAACCGGCCTAACTCGCTCCTATTTATGTACAAGTGGCAAATGCAGAGAGATTGAGTCCAGTGGTTGAACGGGACGTGAGACCTCCGTTTGACGCACGTTAAATGCATATTATTGCTTGACGCAACAGCGCAGTCCGTTAATGGGTTTCTGTAAAATGTGCACAGACATCTGGCCGTTTCTCAGAATGCTAAAGTGCCGGTACCTTCAGGAGTGGAGATCAAGAAGCTGCGAGCACCAACAAAGTCGACAGCTTGTGTAAAAGCCGTCGGTACACCAAGGTAGCCTTGAAGAGGGAGACACGATCGCTGAGACAAGAGTTTTATTAGCCTGACGTTTCGGATTCCTGCTCGAACCCATCGTCAGAGACAAAAACAGGCACGGGTGGTTCATGTACAAGGTACTGTAGTACTTCTAGGATGCAGTCGCCATGCTACTGCATACCTATGAGCATTCTCGGCTCCCTCCTTCACCCGGGATCGTCGCACTTGGTGTGCTAATTGTTTGATGGCCGGCATTCGCGTCATTAATTGTTGCAATTTGATCACGTGCGTTGGATATTGGCGTGATGATGGCTCTACCATCTGATCCACGGATCCTAGTGTTGGGAAGTGTTCACCTGTGCGCTCCCCTTGCGGCTAATTACTCCGCCTAGGCGAAGTCTCAGTACCGAGTATAGAAGGGGAAGATCATTGTACTCGTCAATGGATTGGAGGCCAGTAAACCATGATTCAAGTGGCTCCGGCTCACACCAAGGTAGCATTTTTTTCCCTAATCCGCACAGAAAATCAATAGGCGGGCGTGGAGAACATGGGTCATGGGAAGGGATGTTCTGGCGGAATTAGTATTGTGAAGTCTAGACACAAATCTTCTGTTTCATGGACACACATGCAAACGAGAGGGGGTCGATGTATAGAAAGAAATGGTTGCCATAAAAAACCAGCAAATAAAAGGTTTCCGCCTCTGTACCTTATGTCGGAAGGCGAGGCAAACAAACTGTCTCCTCCCCTGTATGATTCAATAGTTTAAAGGGTCGACAATCTAAGTGGGGAAGGTTATATTGGTAGAACAACTAGGCGTCTATCCAAGCAGATGCGAGAGCACCATCCTGTCTGGCAAACTCAAAGTGAGGAAAAGTTCATCTTACGCGCAATTGTGGCTCACTTGGTTGACAGCGGTCACCGAATAGACGTCAACCAAGCATTCAGAGTCATCTATGAAGCATTGACGATACACACCAAGTTCCTGCGCTAGCGAATGCTTGCGACGGCAGAACCAGTGGCTACACGGTTAGCCAACCCGGCCTTGTGCTCGCATAGTGTTTGTACAAGCACCAAGGCTCCCTTGGGCAAAGACAAACTCAGCATATGTGCCCACGCCCGCCACGTCGCGTTACAGCGAGGAAACAGGGACAGCTAGTCGCCAAATACCCTACCCCTCTCCCTCCCCCTAGAACTAGAATTTGACCACTGACCCCTGAACGCCACTCAACCCTCTCTCCCATACTGACTGTTTATTGGCTGTTTAACTTTTGCTACAGGTCTGATGATGAATAATCGAAAGCGTATGATTGCAGTACTTGACTTCTTAGAAGCGTATTTCAAAAGGAAACACGGGTAGGACAGGCTCGGAAGCCCTGACAGATAAATTTATCACGAATGAAGGCGAAATTTCGAGGTCCAGGTGTATGCATAAGTGAAGAGGAAGAGTCGAGCACCGGAATACTGTGTTTATTGTCCTGAGCTTTCAGACTTGTACAGAAGTCCATCGTCAGAGGTAGCGGCAGCAGCAGAACAAGCGACAATTATAAGGCATGCAGGTCAATCATCGACCGACGGCGCAAGACTGGAGGTGACTACGCAGGGCTCTGTACACCGGCGCCAGACCGATAAATCGATTGACTGAGTTCTCATCCGAGGCCCAGAGCCCTGCGTAGTCACCACCTCCAGTCTTGCGCCGTCGGTCGATGATTGGCCTGCATGCCTTATAATTGTCGCTTGTTCCGCTGCTGCCGCTACCTCTGACGATGGACTCCTGTACGAGTCTGAAGGCTCAGGACAATAAACAAAGTGTTCCGGTGTTCGACTCTTGTTCTTCACTTATAGATAAATTTATGATTTTAACGTTCGAAAAGCCTTCTTCGCCTAACGAAGGATCAGTGCATTACGTATTCGTCGCCACTTCGAGTAGAATGTCCCCCGGATGCCCTCGAAGACGTTGCAGAGGCGAATTTTGAGTGCTACCGACTAAGACAATGGAGGCCGAAGTGGCCACTTTCGGCTTAGTTGCCGTACCAACCAGCAGCAATTTCAGGCCGTCAGCGTCAACCGTTTGTTCATCTCACTCGGTGGCTAGGTGGAGGCGACATTTGGGACTGGCTGATTGACAGAGACGTTTGCCATGCGCCGGTGGCACCGCTGGCGTCTGATATTTCAGTTGGAGGAGATAAAATTGTCCCAACATAGACGTCGCTGAAGTGCTCCCGGCACTTACCCCACACATGTACTGACTGCACTCCCCATAAAATCTTCCCGTGCGCCTGCGATCATGAGGAAAGAGCTTTTAATTTGATTTTCGCCCACGCAAACATAGACTTCATCACAAATAACCCTGTCCCTAGGTAGCTGTGCTGACATGCTCAGGTGACCACGTCTTCAAATCTCCTTAGAAAGTAATGCGCAAACATGGAGCGAATCCTTCAGGACAAACCTTTCCAGACTCGGATCAAAAGTTTATATGAGCATTTAAGCTGAAGTTCATCAGCTACAGCGGAATAACCGCGTAGTACTCACAAGCTGCCCACAGGCAATCAGTGTGTACAAATATTGCACGTATGACTGGTTTACAGAAGACATTGTGCTATCGGTACACTTGCTTTTGGGAGTCCTAGTCAGGGATTTTATCTCGGTGACTTTGCATTGATAATCTCCCCACGTAAGGGCCTGTCACAATAACTTCTACGGCAGACTACGTCTTGGGAGAGGCAATGACTTCTACGAATTGCTAGAGAATGAATTAACGGACTGAGTTTGAGATCTGGTCTCCCGGTGATGACAGGTAAGGCGGAGGCGGTCAGTCCAACCCTTCCCGTCTTGATCGGCAACAATTTTGTCACATATTCCAAGGGTTGCTGCCAAACATGCCATATAAGGGGGCTGACGGGCTGTTTGCCCCATTAATTCATCCCGAAGAAGCGAGGGTTCTGGTGGCGAATTTCTTAACTTACCGAAGTTTAAGAGAGTGTACGGCCTTGCCTACTAATTTTAAACATATCTTTAAATTATACTTTTTGAACAGCGTGGGAATTAATTTGCAAAGTGCCTCAATAACCATGACAATTACGAGGATAAACCAGTGGCAAGTGTTCTCATGGGACAAACCTTCTTGAGCTCGGGTAAAAAGTGCGTGTAAATGCTTTAACTGAAATCCATCGGCTACAGAGCACTAATTTTTGAAGGCCAAAATGTTAATACTGGAGTGACGGTTAGTGACCGACCTTCATTAAAACCGAGATACTCATCCTTCACGAATAAAATTTAAAGACAAGACTTGCTACCAAATGGGTGTGAGAAATAATACTCTCTGTAAAATGTATCTGAATTCATAAGAAAAATACATGCTACTTAAGTAGTTATTTTTTACAGAGTGCGGTTTCTGCAGGAGTTCAAAATGAAGTGCATTCAAAAGCTAGCATCTTGGAGGGTCAGAAATATCACAGGATTATGCCCCAAGATAATCAATACTACAACTCCACTTAGGAAATCTCTCCTAGTCAAAAAGGCATTGCGGAACTTCAGTAAACGTTTCGTGAGATCGGTCACTGACCGTATACACACTGGAAAGTACACGGGAGACGCCAAGGGAACGACCCATTGGTGAGTCGAGCCTCATAAATCAGCGGAAAATCGGCAAAACACAAGTCTGGCTTTTAGCTAGTACCTATGCTGGTAAATCATGCAATGTTTGCGTACTACACAGACTGCCTGTTGGCAACTTATGAATACTACGTGGTTAGTCCGCTGTAGCTGATGGAAATTTCGGCTCGAATATTCATATTAACTTCCGACCCAGGCATGAAAAGGTTTGTCCCAGAGCAACGCATTAATTTCCGAGGAGATTAAAAATCCGAAATTCCCAAAACTAGGATACACAAGGGCATACACTAGGATACGCCGGGGGACCCCCTATGATGAACCGAGCCCAGCGCAGCTGCATCACACGGCGGCAGAAAATCGGCTTTTGTTCAGTATCTGTGATGTCGGCATGGTTGCCCACACAATGCCCGCGTAGTTTTGACTGTTCCCCCCAGAACGAGCATTTCTATCCTTACACTGGACAAAAATGGGCAGTACATTCTCGTGGCAAGCTTCCGCCGAGCCGCATTGTGCATGCGCAGACGTGTGTGGCTGGCAAGAAGACGGAGGTTTCGTGTCACATCAGCCACTGCGCTCAGTCGACCAAAGGTTTCTAGCACTGGGTTGGTGCGCGGGGCGGATAGTGTGAGTTCGCCACTGACGTGCCCCTCCTCGTGGTAATTCAACGAATTCCTCGCTAATAATAAACCGGATGTGTTTGGACCTGGCATGGCGTAGTGGCTTCGAAGCCCGCCAACTGACGATATAACAAGAGTCAGGCTGTAATATGCACCGGGATCTTTCACTTCTGTTAGATCCATACCCCTGTGTGGCCAGAGATGTCCTGTCAACAACCGCGCCAAATCCCGTTCTCAGTGGGTCTGGCTAGGGCAAAGGGAAAGGAAAGAGCGACGTCCATTCACTCCGGTTAGGGCGTTTAGTCCCTCACCATAAAAATACCAAAAAAGCACCTTTGGACCGTCACACGTTAACTCACACGTGAGGTTACATCTTGCTTAAAAAATCACGTAAGCTTATTCGTTGGCTGAGGAAGTAAGATGGATAATAGGCAAACGCATTCGAGATTATGGCAACGATGAGAAAAGCGGGTAGGAACTGTTTACCGGTGAGACCCGCGTCGCTCTGTGGACCACCGATGACGAAACGGCCGGAAGGGTTGATGTGAAATATGGTGTCCTTGTCAATGAGGTAGCTCGGGATCACCTGACGGACGACGCATTCCATGACCTCGGAACGGAGCCTCTCAATGGAGACGTACTGATCATGTTGGATCGACACAACCACCGTGTGGACCCGCAGAGGCTTGCAGGCACCGTTATCCTTCAAGTATTCCACCGTCACCTAGAGGTTTTATAAAAGTCAGGCAAAGTTAGAAGGTAGGCCTGAGCAAACGTTTGTCATTTGCATGCTTGTCGCCCATAATATGAAAAGCACAGTAGGGAACATGGGAGCAAGTGATGTTAGCGGTGCAAGAGCAACACTGACGGAGATCCCCTGAGCCCTACACTAGAAGGCCCCTACGTCAGCAGTCGTCAGTGCAATCAGATGTTAAATCGTCTGCCTGACACTGAGCCTGTTCCGAGTTAGACGAATATGGTTTGTTGTTGTTTGCGGCTACCAGGTGATCGCCAAACCTGCCTCCATGACGCAGTCCTGGTAGTGTGCGCGTACAGCGTTCATGGGGCATCCAAGACCACAAGCTTGGCTATAAGGAACGGACCTTCTAACGTTCCTAACCATCGAAATGGCGGAAGGGACTATAGATTCGTCACCGACAGGCTGCCGTCCCGTGGGTGAAAGGTTTGACAGAGGCTGGCACGACTTGAGGTGACTTTTTATGCTCATCATGAGTTCGAAACCTTTTAACTTTTATGCAAATTACCTGCACGCCACTGGAAATTACGCGACATGTAGGATTGTCAACCAATTTATACCGAGGGCACCGGACTCGTTCCGCAGTATTTGGTGAAGATTGCATAGCCGCTGAGGATCAAATAGACGTTCGTGCCATCACTGGTCAAAAGATCAATGTCATTAGCTATTTACTTGGCATATAGGCCGCTCTAAGTCTCCCGTATATTATGTTAGAAAGTGGGAACGGTAATACAACACGCCGAGACAGAGACTGCAAGCTTATGGTCTGAAGAATAGCGAAGTCCTGACGGAAACAGGGCTTCAGGGTACACCAGCTCTGTGGTGGCAAGGTGACCTTGGCAGCTGGATAGAAGGTAGGCTCCATGTCTATGACAGTTAAATCGTTGTAACCGAGGATGCCTACTGTGTGCCCTACGGCAGGGTGAGCGCAGGGGCGGTGACTTGCGCGTGAACTAGTTTATGGTGACAGATGCATCCGCGTCGTCGATCGAAAAGCGAGAACGACCTGTGCTGTTCTCAGCAGTGATCAGACTGGAGTTTGATACAGTGAGTTGGGCCCTCATCAAAATGCTGAAAATCGTCTCATTCCCGTACGCAGTCTTGCCGGATACCCCAATGTAAGTTTGCGGTCAACTTTTTTCTACCTCTAGCCTACTTTTCAACAAGCAGTACAACCTGTTGAGTCGCAGGTCAAGTACCAAAATTCTACTGCTATTCGAGGCCACGTGCTTCATGTCCACAGAAATATCTACCGGTTTGTCGAGAATCTGATTAGTGTTGGCAAGCTTAACAGGAAGCATTACCTACATGGATACTGGAAGACTCACTCTAGAGTAAACAAGCCACACAGCTTTTGGCTCAGTGTTGACCCTGGTATGATTTTCTCCGTTCAGGGTTTACGACTTATCGTTTCTTGTCATCCCCCCCCCCCCTCCCCCAAGACCACAATAAACAACCCAACTTTTTCACTTGGCGAAAGTTCATAATTTAAAGATAAACCTGTTGGGAGTTTCGGATTTTACTTTGTTTATGGCGTTTGCAAAACAAGTAACTCGCTCAACGTTTGTAAATTCATTTAGCGGACAATGACTACGCATGAGAAAAGCAAACAATCATGACGTCACAATCAAGAGCTACTAGCTGGCAAAAAGTAGCAGTGTAATTACCTGCGTCTTTGAATCCGGACGTGCCCAGGGCAGGGTCCCATCACGCCGACACAGAGCGAGCCTTTGATTGAGGGCATGTGCCAACACAAGGGTAAGAGGCATGCATTCTTCGGTTTCGTCGGTGGCGTAGCCAAACATGAGACCCTAAAGTGAAAAAAACAGGTCAGTAGCATTAGTTCCCGATAGCAGACAGCGAAGATTATTATGCTCCACGATCTAGAGACCTTTGCTCGGTGAACGTAGACTAAGGAGTTCATTGTCTACAAGAGACGCTGAACAGGGACAAACACTGTAGAATCACATGTCAGGATGCCAAGAAAAGTAGCCAATGACTGAATAACAAGCAATGAAAAATGGTCCTAAGGGCATCTAGTATCATATAAAAAATATATCCCGTTGGCTGAAACGTTCGTGTACGCCCCTAGCTACCAAACTGAGGAACAAGTCATTTGAGAGCTAGCTCGTCTGATCATAACCGCCGTGGATGACATACGTTGTAACAAACTACAAATTATCGCAGAGAACAACGGGCCCGCGAACAGAAATAGAATTTTCCCTTCTCTTTTTAGAGGTGATAAAAGTTAAATGAGGGGGAAAATGATAGTCAGGCAAAAAAAACAAAGACAACGACACCCTTCTTCACAAAACTGATCCACTTCTTTCAAAATGTGGAAATACGACCGGAACAGAATACAAGTGCTGTTCGCGAATAGTTAGTTCGTAGCGGACCATTCGAGGCAATACCTAGTCATACCTAATAAAATAGCTAATAGGCACAGTGAGTGGGGAGGAGCCCAAAAAGGCGCTCCAGCTACGTCCAATCAATTACAAGTGGGTTCTAAGGTCCTAGAGAAAAATCGAAAACTGTGAGCTAATGGGTGAGTTACGAAAAAATTACGAGTAAAAAACTCGAGTTTCACTAGAAACTGATCGGGTGAAGACTTCGTTTACGGCCGCTGCTGTATCAATAAAAGGAAACTCCGGTCAAAAGGTCTAGGTTATGGGCAAACCAGTTGATGCATAAACCAGTGGCAGTGGGACGAATGAAACATTGTCAAGATACCTGATCACCTGCTCCGAGTTCCTCCATCGTTCGTCCTTCGTGTACACACTGTGCAATGTCAGCACTTTGTTGTTCAATGGCTGTGAGAACGTTGCAGGTTTTGTAATCAAAACCTTTGCGCGAATCATCGTATCCTATTTGCTTGACAACGCGGCGAACAACCGCCTGAAAATCAATAGTTGCGTTCGACGATATTTCCCCGCCGATTAAGATCATTCCAGTTTTAGTGAAGGATTCTACAGTGCTCCAGGTAATATCACAAAATAAAAAGCTTACCACAGGCAACTTTTGCGTCAGGATCCATGCTTAAAAATTCATCGAGGATAGCATCGCTAACCTGGTCACAAATTTTGTCTGAAAATGTGTGGTTACAAGGGTTATCTTATTACCTGGGTGTCCCTCTCCGACAGATTCGGAGCTAAACAGGAATCTTTCGCCAACATCGCCGTTTCCCTTATCTGGCATCGCATCCATCCCGGGCGTCCTATCAAAAATCACGCCGAAACAAGTAAAAGTGACGCGCCAAAATACGCTCACATGATCGACGTTTGGGTCGTTAAAACAAAAGCAAAAGGGTGGGGGTCTTGGAAATTTAAAATTTCCGGTTGCTTTACTCGCGTACTAGCTATCGCGATTTTTGAGGGCGAGCTTCGGAGTCACACAAAATCTGTAATTCAAAAGCGCATCGTCAGGTTTGAAAAAGATGCCTAAGGCGATGAGTGTCAGGCTGGACCCAACAATCAATGACTCTGAACCAATAACGTCCATTCTTACTGGGATCCACAAGACTAGCGTATTCACTTTTCGTCGTCCAAATGAAACAAAGAAATAGATTTTTATGGTCAAGGCATGAAGCAAGGCAAATTTCGCTGGTTTACTCCGCTGTATGGAGGAAAAACTAGCAACATACTGCGGTGGACGTTACGAAAGTATAAAGAGAGACACCGTAAACCATGGCTGCATAAGAAACTCAAAAAGTCAACGATAGCGATGAGTTTTGAGAAGTTCGCTCACAGTTCATAAAATGTACTGCTTTTTGAACCAAGTATTGTTCACTGGTCTATTCTTTTAATTTCACTGTCTGTCAAGGCACCTTAGTCAATTATTCATTACAACCTCGCCAGGTCCATTGCGTATATTCAGATAATATTTTATTACCGTCCCTCATCATTGCGTTGGTTCCTCTACAGAAGGACTGTTACAACAGATTATATGCAACTGGCGTTGTTAGAATTCCGATTAGAGTAGTAATATCCCTCTCACCTTATTTAAATTTCAAGACATACATGGAAATGCTAACAGGTATTGACATTGTAACACATTCTAAGGCTGCGTCTTTGTCGTGATTCTGCTAATGGGGAATAAATCGAATCGACCACCTTAATAGTTGTCAAAATATCATGAGGGCGTTTACGTCCGAAACGGCCTAGTATTAGCAGGTTTAAATTTTTGAAGTTCCGCTAAGCAAGCGACAGCAGTTTTAAATCAGCATGCATCGGAAAAAGATGGGGTTTAAATGTCTTTGATCAGCAAAAATAATTCATCAGCGACGATATTTTCAAAAGTAGTAACTTTTTGGTGCACCTAGGTATTCAGGGAAATTTTTGAATATTACAGTACTTATAGATATTTAAGTGTGCAACATTCATTTGGTTACGAATGTCGTAGAAACCACTAAAACACAAGCAATGGTGGAGATATGAAGAAGGTTCTTTATGGGATGACGCTATCGTAAGGATAAACAAATCGCAATCCTCAGGGTTTGAAATTGATTCACCATTAATGCTGTAATTTCTTCACATTTTTGATTATCTATCGATTTTTTATGTACAAATAGGGAGTTCAAAGGCGTAAGCTTATTTCCCTCAAATACACTGACTGACTGATTGACCATGTATAAGGCCCACAGAGCGAATCTCCTGTGTGGAAATATTTGGATTTTTAACGGGACAAAAATGCTTTATCCAGCGCTAGTGGAACTCATCAAAAAGTCACAGGTTGGTAAGATTACAAGCCAAGCTATATATATCAGCTGGCGGCAGTACTCTTCCGTTGTTACTAAGGGGCTGCGAAATTCCAGAATTAGACAGAAAACAGACGACATAAATATCTCTCCTCGTCAATAAGTAGGTAATACACCATCTGGGACCTTGAGTCATCCTATGCTGAAGGGACCTACACTACTCACCAGACTAGAAGCCCCATTCGAGATTATTTATCCTTCCGAGTCTAAGTGTAAAAATTTCGTTTTTAAAACAGTCGTGAGCAGATTCATAGCCATTGCTAGTAGGAAAAATTACTTCAGAAATCCACTAGAAGGCAGGAAGAAACAGCCCTTGGTGAGAACGCAATTAGTTAGCATCGCAGAAGTGCCAACCATTAAGATCGTCCGAATCTCTGAAACCTATGGTAGGGTCGACTTCAATAGTAACTCTGCACCCAACCGCATCACATGACTTTTGTACAATGGAGTCTTCTTTGTTCATGTCGCTGACCGTAAAATCCAGTTAAAATATTTGCCATGTTCATTTTGACCTCTTTGGAAATCACCTGACATTTTATACAGCTGCTCGTGGACTGGACGAATGACACCAAACGCCGTTGAAGTTGAATCTGGTCTTCTTTTTCCGTCCGGGTCCCTTCTGGAAAAAAATATCTCATTCAGTCCTAATCGTCATTCTTACTATTTACTTGGTGGACATCCAAAACCCCAGTTCGTAAGCGCACCCTAGAACTCTGATAACCATGACGTTTGACGTGTTTTCGTTACCACTAGGCTAGAGTACAAATACAAATCTCAAGACTGCGTGGGTGCTCTTCGACGTTGACCTACCTCTACCATTCTTGGGACTCCCATTATGACTTTACGCCTTTCTAAACTTTTTTTCTACGAATGAAGTACAGAATTAAGTACTATGTGTCCGGAAAAGGGTCGCATGTGACACTTTTTGGCATATAACCCAAGGGAGTTTGATTCTACGTAAGATAATCGGAAACCAATCCATACATTTATACGACGGATGTCAGCCCACTACAAAGCAACAAAATAAAAGAAATGCAAGTTCGGCATAAAAATCACCTCATTTTTGTCTCCAGACAAAAATACCAGTAAGTGAATAACTGTCTTCTGGGCGGAGGTGAGTGAACCCTACTCCGGTACCGGTAACGTGACTGCATTCTAGTTGACTGAGTGATTCATCAAGGTTTTCACTTAAATTAAGTCAGTTTAAGTCAGCTTATTAAGGGAATGAGGCTTTCGCCCTTGAGCTCCCTATTCATATCGATAAACAGAAATTAAGTCATCAATTACATCAACAAATGCGAAAAGTTTTAAAGTTAGCGGTAAGTGTGAGCCAGGCGCAAACTGCCGCCGCTAAAACAATCATTATTATATGTACAGGAGGTTCTCAAAAAATGAGCATCTAGTCTGCACTTAAAGTATTTGACACTTTCGGAAAGAACGACGGCATCAGGGAGTCCATTCCATGCCCCGATGACCCTGTGAGAGAAGGCGTTCCGTCGGACGTCCGAATGAGCCCGCTTCCTTTGCAGTTTGAAGGGGTGACCACGCAGACGGTCAGTCCCGGCCAATTCAAAGAATTTATTAAAGTCTAGGGCACACTCACGACCTCTGAGAGTCCTGAAGGTTTGAATGAGCTCGCCGCGGAGTTGCCTGTAATTTAGAGGAAACAGATTTAGTTCGGTCAGCCTGGTTTCGTAAGGCAAATTATGAAGATTCTTGACCATCTTCGTAGCCATCGCCTGTACTCTTTCCAGTCGCTGATAATCTTTCTTCAACCACGGTCGCCAAGCCTGGACTGCGTCCCGAGAATTCAAACCATATAATTTTTCAGGTGGATAATATACAAATACTGCCGACTGGTGTAATTTGATATCAGGCTTGCATCGAAACCACCAGTTGGCTTGAACCAGCTTCTGGCACATTCCTTTGCGCAGATATGTACGTCCAATTTCATATGAAGTTTCTTTAGCTTTAGACCAGAAATAGTTAGCGCTGGCAGGGTCTGGGGAAAAATTTCGTCTCCTACCTTTCTGAAAATTTCGCTCAAAATAACTGGTGGACAACTATCGTCCTGTCCTCCACATCAGGATAACTTACAAATCATGGGTAAAAGTTTTTAAGAAACCGGAAATCACCACTAGAAGAACATATCTTCTTTGTTCCTGGTCAGCGTAGGTTCCGTAAGCGATTTCTCGCCCAGAAAAACGTCTGACTACTGCGAAGACTCCAAATAACTTACTCCAATATCAGGTTGATGTCAAAATCGTCTTCAGTGACTCCAGCAATTATGCTTGCGGTTAACGCTTAAAGTCACATAAACGGGGCAAATAACTGAATTACAAACTTTCTTCCCAGTAATTTCCCTGTCTGACTATAGGAATGCCACATCAGCCCAATTGCAGGTTTCACTACAGTTATACGAGATGAGTTGTTGCCTTTTGCTTGCCTACGCCATCATTTTTTCGGGCCAGACTCGAAGCTATACTTATCTCTTACGACCCCTAGCATTTGTCAATGAGTCTTTTGACCAGTAGAGTTTTCTGAACGCCGAAGATTCTTGATGTTTTTCTCCTAACCCATATTTAAATTTGAAATAATGCATACACACGGTCTCATGAGATAGGGTTATTCCACGCGCCGACTCTACAGCCGGTTTGGAAATTTTTGCAACTCCTGATCTGATACTAACAGACTGTGGCTTAATAAATGCTATTAAGACCCTCATGTAACTTCCTTTCCTTTGAAAATGTTTACAAAACTTCACGAAATAAATTGTTGGGCGTCCCAAACAACGTTTCATTAACCATAACCAAAAAAGGATTGCTGGCTTGGTGGTAGTACCTCATCTGCAAACTTAAATTCTGGGAAACGTTTGGTACTATGCAAAAAAGTCACTATTCGCTTCCGGATCGTCCAACAGCATATAGGTTAAAGCGATTTAGCCATTCTATTGTTTTGGACATACGCAGCTGTTCCACCTCAGAAACTTTTACCGGCCAAAGAAGCGTGTAAGAGACAAACCCGCTAGTTGGGCACAACGAGTAGGCTTTCCGGTTAACGAAAATAGCGTTATCCCAACAGTTACAAACAAGCAAATAAGAACAAAGTCGTCAGCAGGTAAAAGTGCACGTGCGTGTTCTTTTTCTTATTCACAGTTGTGTCAAAGCGTATTGCAACTGATTAAAACAAAACGGACTTAAATGTCCCTACAATACTCTCCCTACTAGGAGAACGGAGTTCAAAAAATTTTTAATGATAGTAGGAAAATCTGGGAGGGTTATGCATATTGTACAAGTTGGTAACGGTCGGGAAAACGGACATGACGACCGCTGCGCGTAAGGGGAGGAGTCTGTGGGATAAGGGAAGACGCGGGGTTATTGGGCGTAAATGGAGTCTGGGAAATAGCAAGTGGCAATGTGCCAAGTGGAGGTTGTTCGGTTGGAGAAGTTGAAAGAGGCTCGGTATAAGCCGCCTTCAAGCGATCGATTGAGACCACGTCGGTGCGGCCTCCACGATCAATTGTAAAATGCTTGTCCTTGCGCGATAGTACTCGAAATGGGCCGTCATAGGGCTGTTGTAGTGGTCGGTGAACGCTGTCTACGCGGACAAATGCAAAAGAACATGTTAGTAAGTTCGGGTCGACGTACGACTTACTTGTTGAAGGACGTGGAGGAGTGGCTCGAAGATGAGTCATGGCATGGCTCAATCTTTGGACATAATCGCTGGGATCCAAGTCGCCTGAGCTTTGAGAGTACCCGAAAAAATCCCCAGGAATCCGTAGGGTGGTACCGTAGACAAGTTCGGCAGCGGAACACTCCAAGTCGGGCTTGAGTGCGGTACGGATACCGAGCATGACCAAAGGCAGATGCTCGCTCCAATGGGAAGGATTGTCATGAGCTCGGAGCGAGGCTTTGAGTTGCCGGTGGAAACGCTCGACTAAGCCGTTGGATGAGGGGTGGTATGCTGTCGTGCGTATGCGAGAACATCCGAGGAGGTTGGTAAGGCTGTTAAAAAGTCTAGACTCGAATTGTTGACCTCGATCGGTGGTAATAGTTGAGGGGACGCCATAATGAGAGATCCAGTGTTTCAAAAAAGCATGAGCAACGGAATCGGCAGTTATGTTAGGTATTGGAGTTGCAATGGGCCAACGAGCAAATCGGTCAATCGCAGTAAGTAAGTAGTTGCAACCACGAGATATTGGAAAGGGACCTACCAGATCGATATGGACATGTGAAAAACGTGCGTCGGATGCGAGAAAAGTGCCAATGGGGGCTTTGTTGTGCCGTCCGACTTTGGCCTTCTGACAGGCCAAACATGAACGAATCCACTGACGGATATCAGTGTTCATGCTTGGCCAAACGAACCGCTCGCTGGCGAGGCGCTAGGTAGTGCGGATGCCAGGGTGAGCTAGATTGTGCAACGCGGCAAAAACATCTCGTCTCATCTCGCTTGGCACTACGGGTCGGGAGGCACCGTGCGATACGTCACAAAAGATTGTACCGGGAGTGGCGGAAAGAGGAATGGCTTCGAGTTGAAGATTAGTGTGTTGAAGGCTCTCACTGAAAGTCGGCTGATTTTGCAGTTCTGCCATGCGCTCCAAATCGATGGAAGGGCGGGTGATGGCATTAATGCCAGGCCGAGAAAGACAGTCAGCAATTTGATTATAAAGGCCTTTAAGAAATCGAATGTCGGTGGTATACTGAGAAATAAAATCGAGATGGCGGGCCTCGCGGGGTGAATACTTGTCAGAAGAAGTAGAGAGGGCATAAGTAAGAGGCTTGTGGTCAGTATAAATACAAAAATCTCGGCCCTCAATATAATTACGAAAATGCTTAATGGCTAAATAGATTGCAAGAAGTTCTCTACCAAAAGTGCTATAGCGAGTTTGTGGGGGTGTCAATTTGGCAGAGTAGAAAGCCAAGGGCTGGGTGCCAGTGGGCGTCTGTTGCTGAAGGGCAGCACCTATAGCGAAATTAGAGGCGTCGGCCACAATAGAAAGTGGGGCATCAGGTATAGGGTGAACAAGGACAGTTGTATCCGCAAGAGCCTTCCTCGCACGATTGAAAGCCTCTACAGCTGTGTCAGGAAAAGAAAACTCACGGTTGTTCCCGCGTAAAAGGTTAGTAAGTGGTAGCATTAATTGAGCACAATGAGGGAGGAAACGTCGATAGAAATTGACAAGGCCTATAAAACGGCGCAGTTGTTGAAAAGAAGTGGGAGTAGGGAAATCGCGCATATATGAAACTTTGGCATCTATGGGTTGACAACCAGAAGCATCTACGCGATGTCCTAGGAAAAACAGCGACTGTGCGCCAAAAACGCATTTAGAAACATTAATGAAAACGCCAAATTGGCTCAATCGTCCGGAAATTAGACGCAAATGTTGTAGTTGTTCGTGTTCACTGGAACTTGCTACCAGAACATCGTCGACGTAGACAAAAACAATAGGTAGATCGCGGAGGGCTTCGTTGATGAAACGTTGAAAAGTTTGAGTGAAGTTGCGTAGCCCAAATGGCATCCTGACAAACTCGAACAGACACAACGGTGTTGTAATCGCCGTTTTGGGAACGTCTTCTGGAGCAACGGGTATCTGATGGAAAGCTTTGATTAAGTCAATGTTGGAAAATATTGTTGCTCCATCCAGGCTAGATGAAATGTCGTGGAGATGGGGAAGTGGATACCTGTCGGGCACAGTACAGGTGTTTAACCGTCGGTAATCCCCGCATGGGCGCCAGTCAACGAGGGACATTTTGCACACCATATGTAGAGGTGCAGCCCATGGACTAGTGGAAGGCCTAACAAGGCCTTTGACAAGGTGCCCCATAGACGTCTTTTAGTAAAATTGGAAGCTCTCGGCATCCGGCCGCCTCTACTCGACTTCATCAGGTCCTATCTGTCCAACCGATATCAGAAAGTCATGGTCGGTAATAGCTACTCGACACCTCACTCGATCACGAGTGGCGTACTTCAAGGAACGGTTCTGGGTCCGCTACTCTTCCTTCTGTACATCAATGATATTTCGACTGAACTCGGAAATTCGCAAACTTTTACTTATGCCGATGACCTCAAGTGTGTCTACTCATACTCTAAGGACACCGCAAATGTTTGTGTTGAAAAAATTAATGCCGATTTACTACGTTTAAGCAGATGGGGTTCGACATGGCAGATGGAGTTTTCATCATCCAAGTGTAGTTTCATGTCTTTTGGTCCTACCAAACTTCCTGGTCCCATAATTTTTCAGAATAACCCACTCTCAGAATGCCTCACCATAAAGGACCTAGGTCTAAGTTATACAAATAAACTTGCTTTATCACCTCATGCAGATAGAATCTCTGCCAAAGCCGCGCAGATATGTGGATTCATATCGCAGATTTTTTTCCTTCCGGAAATGAAGCTAAGACTTTATCAAATGTTTGTTCTTCTAGTCCTCGAATATTGCTGTCCTTTCTTCGGCTTAATGAACGCCTTTGACCGTAATAAAATCGAAAATGTTCAGAGGGTTTTCACCCGCAAACTGTTCTCTCAAGCTTCGTCCAGTATTTCTTATACTCAGTGATGTCAGCTGGCGAACACTAAGTTTTTGTGGGTTAGAAGACTCGAAGCTGGCCTTTGCTTCCTTTTTCGCATCAACTCTAGCTCCAGTCTTCCGCACATTGACACTCTCACTCCGAGGGATCGGTCTTATGCCACGCGCAACTCCTGCATGGTGATTCCGCCGCCTCTTTGTACTAAATCTAAGCGCTCCCTCTTCTTTGCTTCCAAATATGCCTTCCTTTGGAATAATCTTCCGCCTGAAATTAGATTATCGCCTAAGTTACTGGTATTCAAGTCGAAATTACGCAACCATCTTACACCGGAAAGCATAAAGGCACTGTTAACGGTCTAATTCCCGAACACTCAGATTCTTGACTTCGAGAAGGGTCCTCCTGGGATTTAGTGGTAGATTAAGTGGTAACTCTTAATTATGTCATTAGAAACCCCTGTTTTTAATTGGTTTCTAAATCCATCGCTATCCTTCCCCCCATAGCGACAATTTTCGCGGTTTTTGATGTCATCTCCCGCATTCCGACCTCATGCGGTCTGTCGACGCTCACGGCGGAAACCTCAGTATTCACTGTCTACTAGTAGTTCGGTCGTACCTCCCTTCCTCACTGCTCGGCTGAGCTCGAAGCGTGCTGTGGCCGATCGCATCTCGGTTCCTCTCGTCTGGCCTCTTTGACGCGGCGTACCAATCCGGCCCAGACGATCTCAATTGTGAATCCCGTATACAATGCCATTTGCAAGCCAGTCCTGTCTGACCCGCATACGTACCCCTCAAGACTGACATTTATTGCTATCCTGACGATGACCGACAACATTCCGTTATATACCGCCACCTACAGGCCAGTCCTGCTCGTTTTTTTCTGTTATTATTTTTATGGAGGGGTTTTTTTTCTCCTGTAAAATCAATCCAATCATTTTTAACTTTTTGTAAGGAGTTTTTTTCACCCCTCAATCATCATGTTTCTCAATGGACTTCTAATTCAGAAACTATGAATTGCATTTTGTAAAGATTCGGCCTACCTCGTCTAAAACTCGCATGCAAATTTATTTTAACATGCTTTGATGGGACCCCGACGGGCCTTTAATAAAAATTATCTATCTATGCCTAGCTCCATCATGTGGCTGAATTCAGCCTTGGCTATGGCTAATTTATCGGCGGCTAAACGACGGGGACGGCTAAACACGGGTGGTCCAGTAGTTGAAATATAATGTACAACAGAATGCTTGATAGGTTGGTTAAATTGTGAAGGTCGTGTGATAGATGGAAATTCCGAAAGTAAACGATGATAGGGAGTAGACGAAGGGATTGTTAAAATGCGTGGATTAGGTGATGAAGGGGTACGAGTGGAACAATTAAAATGTATATGTATGTATGTATATGTATGCAGAATAGTATTACCGACAAAGAATGGTCACTTCTGGCTTATTAGCCGTCGTCAGCCAGCCATACCCAAGCCCGAAGTGTGGAACACCCGAGCCTCGAACTCGCGACCTATTGGTTTAGAAGTCCACGCCTCTACCCACCGGGCCACGAGCCCGTTGCCCTGTCGGTTTTCGATCGGGAATATACAATGGTAGGGGGGCGCTCCCCGATCGTTCATACGGAACTCACTCGTTCCGTTGTGCCTTAAGGGCTCTCTCTCGAGCCCAACCAGCAGCCGCACAGCGGCGCATGATATATAGGCAGAATAGTATTACCGACAAAGACAAGGGAGACTGGAATGGCCATTTCTGGCTTATTAGCCGTCGTCAGCCAGCCATACCCAAGCCCGAAGTGTGGAACACCCGAGCCTCGAACTCGCGACCTGTTGGTTTAGAATTCCACGCCTCTACCCACCGTGCCACGAGGGTTAGAGGCAGAGCCTTTGATCACCCTATTTATGTACAGTGCTTTCGCAGATTCGTAGTCAAAAATAAAATTCCAGGCATTTACAATGTTATCGGGTCACATTTCAATAGTAATCAAAAAGGTAGCGCATAAGGTCACTGTAAATTGGTTCGGAGGGATTGTATATGACAGGTTTTTACAAAACTGGGTGTCCGTAGTCATGCTGTAAAAGTCGATATCTGTCGAAAAGAAGGCGGGAAAGATTTCTTTTAAACACACAGATTGTGTCAGCCTCCACCATCTGGCTTGGAAGCGAGTTCCACGGTCGGACCACCCGCTGGCTGAACGAAAATTTTCGACGGTCTAACCGCGTGCGCTTGTTCCTGACTTTGTAGGCATGGCCGCGTAGTTGGCTTGTGCGGGCTAACTCAAAGAAGTCCTCCGATCTTAATGAGCAACCCTGGCCGCGGACAATCCGGAACGTCCAAAGTAAACTGCAGTTTATTTGCCTATAAGAGAGGGGGAATAAGCCAAGCAAATTCAGTCTCTCCTGATAAGACAAAGGCTCAAGACCGTCAACCATCTTTGTCGCTCTGCGCTGCACCTGTTCGAGTAAGTCTACATCCTTCCTCATCCATGGTGAAGCTGCTGGCATTCCATACTCCAGATGAGGTCTAACAAAGGCACCAAAACTCTTTCGAAGAGTTCGGGAGGGAATACTTTAAATGCACGTCTGATCCAGTGTAGAGTACTAGTTGCCTTCTGGACCATCTTTCTACAGTGTTCTGATGGCGATACATTTGTGGTCGTCCATACACCCAGATCTCTGTGTTTCTCCACAGCTTCTAACGCCGTTCCGTCAATATAATACTGGTGTTTGGGAGAGGCATTGCGGCCGGTGTTTAGGTGCAAGACCACACATTTGGACACGTTAAACTTCAAAAGCCATCTGTTCGACCAAGCACACAGTTTATCGATGTTTGACTGCAACTTCTCCGCGTCATCATCGCACTTGACTTGACTCCATATTTTTATGTCATCCGCGAGCATGAGGGCCTCGCAATTCACTTCGCTGATGCAGTCATTAACATAAATGAGGAAGAATACTGGGCCTAAGACAGAACCCTGTGTAAATAAGTCTTAGGATCAAATAATTTATGGGACTTAATATCAAAGAGGAGACCGAAAAAGGATATAAAATCAGCGCCGATGATGGCAGTATGGACATCAACGATAGTAAATAGCCAACGAAATGAACGTCTCAGACCCAAGTCTAGTGTTATGGATCGTTGAACAAAAGTTGTAATAGAAGAATTGTTAGCTGCTTGGAGGAAAAATGAAGAGTTTTGTGACTTACGGTCAGTCAAGGTGGGTGGGATTAGACTGATCTCCGCACCATTATCCACGAGAAAATTACGACAGGAAGTCCTGTAATAGATGTGGAGTAGGCGACTTGAAAAGGATGTGCCGACCACGTTCGTCGCCCATATTGGTCGGCAGGGTAGTTTCCCGACGCGGGTGTTTTATACTTGCACCGAGAATGGCAACGATGGGCGTTAGAAACATAGGCAGAATGATATTACCGACAAAGACAAGGGAGACTGGAATGGTCATTTCTGGCTTATTAGCCGTCGTCAGCCAGCCATACCCAAGCCCGAAGTGTGGAACACTCGAGCCTCGAACTCGAGGTGTCACTGTCTTTTCAAACGCATATGTGAATCCATCTGAACTGTCGGAGCATTTCAACAGTCGCCACGACTGTGTAGATTTTGCAGGCCATTACGTCGAGGCATCGAATGTTAGAAGAGCCAGATATGACTCTGGGGCAACCCTTCCTCAATTAGGTTTTTACACCAACGGCAAGAACACTGCTGATGGCCTCATACCACGTGGTGTATGATGAAGGCGAACGAAAAGAACTCCTTACAACTTCAGAGCAGTTAGTACTATGGTACGCATTAGAAATGATAACAGTTGTTCTGAGAAGAGAAGCCTAAAACAAACTTAGATTGGTACCGTTATCAAGTAATGTTATTCACGACTGAATTATCAATTTCAGCTTGGACATTTTGAATCAAGTCGTTGCTGATATAAAGGCAAGTCTCTTAAAATCTCCTTCTTATTGGATAAAACAATGGATTTTGCAAATTGCAGTCAACTCTTGTAATTGGTGAAGTTTGTCCATGGTGGTGCCATAGAATAAGATTTCCCGTTCGGTGAAGACATGGAAGCGACCACAAAGGAAGTAGACGTCTGAGGAAAATGAAGTGCTCGCCGAATCGAAAGACTTGTTCGGCTGACGTATCGAAGAGCTTAACCAGCTCCCCATTATCAAAGCGTCCAATGAAAAGTCGATCAAAATTTTGACTAGACAGCCGGATTAGTTGGCCTTGGGCTGATCGATTTTCTTCTTCTTTTGCCGCCTTGGCCTACTGACTGTCGCCTGTGAGTGTTGGTGGCCTCCTGTAATTTGTGTCGTCACCTCAATTGGGGTTTGTTGCGTTTGCGTTCTCCCTTTTAGGTGAATTTGTCGACAAGCCGTGTTTGCTCGGTATTCTTAGGCTCCATATGACTGTCTTGTTTTCGTCACGACGTATGTGGTGACGTAGGACTTTAAAGGCCGAAGAAGGTCTAGACGACTGTCGATAGAGTTGGCATCAGAGTACCAGGCCTTAAATGTGAGACGCTCTGTCCTTGAGGTGTCCCTGGCTAAAACAGCTGTTTCTTGACAATCAAAACTGTGACCAGTTTCCCCGATGTGGGCTGCAAGCTGTGAATTTGGGTCTAGTCTCCGAGTTGCCGGTTTGTGCTCGTGTAGGCGGGTCTGCAATTTCCGTCCGGTTTCCCCAACGTAGGTGCAGTCTCCATCGTTACAACGTATTTGATAGACAACGGCTGACGTTTCAGTGGGTGGCAGTATGTCTTCGGGCTGCATCAACCGACGGCAAATTGTTGCCTGGGGTCGATGGGCAATACCTATCCTGGCGAATCGTAACAGTCGTGAAACCGCCTCGGAGACTCCTTTAATGTAAGGAATATCCCTCTAGACTTCGGGTTATTCTTCTTGTGGCCGTCGTCTGTTCACTCGGCGCTTGCTTTGCTTGATAAAGTAGCTTGCGTATCCATTGTCCGAAAGTGGTCATGAAGGTATTGTCGTTCAACTCTTTTGTTGGCTGGTGTGCTGCAGTGTGTTTTAACTCTTTGGAATAGAGTACGGACACATCTGCCTTTTTAAAAAAGGGATGATTGCTGTTAAAGTGTACTATTTGTCTTGCGTTGGTGGCTTTGCTGAAAACGGTAGTTTGCAATTGTCTAGTTACACACCAACGTACAAGGAAATGGTGGAAGGGAAGTTGGTTGTTTGTTTCGGCTTCCATCGTGAATTGGATGTTCGGGTCAACCCAGTTCAGTAATTATTTAAGGTGCTCCACGCCAGATGATTTGAAAATGACGAAGGTGTCATTGACGTAACGAACACTGAACTTTGGCTGATACTTAGTGAACACCATGTGTTCTATCCGTTGAAGAACCACTTCAGCATTCAGCCTTGATATGGGGGAGTTCACAGGAGTGCCTTTGATTTTTTCATACATTTGTCCGCCAAAGGGGAAATATGTTTTTAGGCAATACCGTAAGAGCTCCATGAGATGTTCGGTCTTCATTGCATTGTCTCTCTCGTTGTAGCGATCAGCCAGGAGTTTTCTCACAACGTCAATCGCTAGTTGTTGTGGAATTGAGGTGAAGAGTGAAACGACATCAAAAGACACCATGGATTTATCTGGCCTTAGTTTCAGATGTTTTAAACGTTCAAGGAACTGATTAGCAGAAGCCACAGTTGTTGGCCTATTCGACCACATGCGCATCCGGGACGACCTGCGGTAGACAACCGCCGGTTACACCACACATCCACACACTCCCTACCCTCTGTCGAAGGTTGAGTGGTCGACCAGATAAAGATTCCCAATCAAAAGTCAGGGAAGACGGAATGAGTGGGACAAACTTTACTGCTTGGAAAGCGTGTACACAAAGGCTGTGTGAGCAGTCGCCGCAAGCGTGCTCTCCAGACAAGTTGTTGTCTGTGTCCGCCTTCGAGGTGTTGTCAGCGCGTGTGTGCGCCCCTCGATGTCGCCACGTCCGCCAGCCAATCAGAGTGGGGACAGCGTTGATTGGCTTCGAGCGCTCGGGCGTCCCAGCAGCGTATCGACTCAGAGTGTGAGGCGGACAGAACGGCAGCGTGACAAAGGCGGAGGGCGAGGAGACGCGGACTGCCACAGTACCCCCAGGCTAGACCGAAGGTGGCGCGTAGCGGCGCCGAAAGAGTTGCTGGTGTCTAAAAAACATGAGTAATCAAACGGTCAGGAAAATGAACATGGCGTCCATTACGGGTGATATATACAGGGGGCACAGGAGTAGAGTGAGTATGGCTCGCTGTTACAGTGTTGCTGGTTGATGAAGGAGTAGTTGCAGTTGTGGGTTGCGGACATGGGGGCAGAGGAAATATACGGGACGGTGGAATAGAGGCTGAATGGGGGGAAGCAGAAGGTAGAGGACCACAGGGCTCATCCGGAGGAGTATCAGGGACGGCAGCCTTGAGGCGGTCCACACTCACGACCTCTTCACGATGGTCGTGCTGAAAGCGGAAAGTCTTCGGCCCGCGAGAGAGCACCCGAAATGGGCCGTCATAGGGCGGTTTCAGAGGTCGGCGGACTCGATCACATTGAAGGTAGACATGAGAGCACGTTGCCAAGTTCTTCTCGAGATAAGACGGAGAGGCGGAGGACCTGGGAGGAGCCGAAGCAAGTGTCTTCATAAACTGCCTGAGGCGATGCAGGAGGTTGGTAGGATCCTCAACTGCACCTTGAGTGGTTGGCGAGATCATCTCACCGGGGTGTCGGACGGTGGAGCCGAACACCAGTTCAGCTGCGGAACAATCAAGGTCCGGCTTCAGAGCGGAGCGGATGCCCAAGAGGACCAGGGGAAGGTGGTCCGTCCAGTTCTCCGGATCAGCCGCGGCGCGTAGGGAGGCCTTCAGCTGGCGGTGAAACCGCTCGACCATCCCGTTGGCTGCCGGATGATAGGCTGTAGTGCGGATGCGAGTACAGCCTAAAAAGGAGAGAAAAGACTGGAAGAGGTTAGACTCAAACCGGCACCACGGTCAGTCGTGATTGTGGAGGGTGCACCAAAGATAGCAACCCAACGACTGAGAAAAGCCTTGACCACCGTTGGAGCAGCAATGTCAGGCAGAGGAATTGCTTCAGGCCACGGAGTAAACCGATCCACACAGGTGAGGAGATAGGAACAACCATTGGACAGAGGCAGGGGGCCTACAATGTCCAGGTGAACGTGGCTGAACCTTGCACCAGGGCCATGGAAGGTGCCAATGGGGGCCTTGTTGTGCCGCTGGATCTTACTCCGTTGACAGGCGATACAAGCCCGTGTCCATGCTTTCAGGTCTTTGTGCATCCCAGGCCAGACGAAGCGGTCGGAAACCAGCTTGTCGGTTGCTCGACTCCCAGGGTGAGACAGATTGTGCAGGGAGGAGAAAACTTTGCGGCGGAGAGATGGGGGAACAAATGAACGATGGGAAGGGGTGGATACGTCGCCTAAGATGGTGCTGTTGCCAGTTGTCAGTGGTAGTTCCTGAAGATGGAGTCCAGAAACATTCTCATCACACGGTGGACCGACACGGCGCTGTTCAGCGGCCATCTCAGCTAGGTCGATCCCGGGAGAAAGTTGGAGATGAGCAACAGAGGGCCTTGAGAGTGCGTCAGCCACCTCATTCCGTGACCCATCGATGTGGCGGATATCTGAGGTAAACTGGGAGATGTAGTCTAGTTGGCGGATTTCACGGGGGTTGAGTTTGTCAGTGTGGGAACGAAGTGCAAAAGTTAACGGTTTGTGGTCAGTGAAAACGGTGAAGTCACGACCTTCAAGGGAATGCCGGAAATGCTTCACAGCCAGGTAAATGGCAAGTAGTTCACGGCCAAAGGTACTGTAGCGTGTCTCAGCTGGTAAGAGCTTTTTGGAGAAAAAGGCAAGTGGTTGAGTCGAACCAGCAAGGTGTTGTTGAAGGACTGCACCTACGGCTACGGTCGAAGCATCTACCATCAGAGACAGCTGAGCTTCGGGAGCTGGATGTGTGAGTAAAGTGGCATCAGCAAGGGAATTCTTGATTCTCTCAAAAGCAGTCAACGCTTCACCAGTCAGCTCGAGGGGACCTTTCGGACCAGAAAGCATGTTGGTGAGCGGTAGTATGAGGTCAGCACAGTTCGGTAGGAACCGACGGTAAAAATTGACCATGCAGAGGAATCGCTGTAACTGACGCTTGGAAGTGGGAGGAAGAAAGTCCCGAATGGCGGCAACCTTTGAGGGAAGAGGCCGAATGCCGTGGGAGTCGACCAGATGACCGAGAAATTCTAGGGAGGGCACACCGAAGACGCACTTGGACGGGTTGAGAACAACGCCAAATTGTTGAAGGCGGTCATGCACCGTTGCCAGATGCTCCATGTGTTCTTCGGCGGTGGAGCTGGCTACCAGAAGGTCGTCGATATAGGCGTAGACAAACGGTAGGCCGCGAAGCACTCTGTCTACGAACCTTTGGAAGGTCTGGGAGGCGTTGCGAAGTCCAAACGGCATGCGCAGGAACTCAAAGAGACCGAAGGGGGTGGTAACGGCCGTCTTCGAAACGTCCTCTGGGGCTATGGAAATTTGGTGGAAAGCACAGACCAGATCGATCTTCGAGAATACAGACTTGCCGAATAGGGCACCGGAAAAATCCTGAAGATGTGGGACAGGGTAGCGGTCCGGGACAGTAACGTTATTCAGGACCCTGTAATCACCGCAGGGGCGCCAGTCACCAGTGGCGGCCTTTGGAACCATGTGGAGGGGTGAGGCCCATGGGCTTTCAGACTGACGGATGATGCCCATTTGAAGCATGTGCTCGAATTCGGCCTTGGCGGCAGCAAGACGTGTCGGCGCGAGACGGCGGGGACGAGAAAACACGGGAGGGCCGGTGGTCCGAATGTGGTGAACAACGTCATGTGGTGGAATAGAAACGTTGAAGTTGGGACGAGTGAGGCCTGGATATTTGGCGAGGAGTTGCCGAAATGGATTCTCGGGTTCAGGGTCCAAGACGGCAAGATGACGGGAGACGTCGGAGGAAGAGATACCCCGGACAGTGAGTTTGGTGGTCTTGTCGTGTAGACGTGACTGACGGCAGTCGACCAGAAGATCGAAAGCAGCGAGGAAATCTGCACCGAGAATTGCACAGGGGATGTCAGCAACGACGAAGATCCAAGTGAAGAGACGCCGAAGACCGACGTCCAGGGAGAGGGAGCGGGTGCCAAATGTGGTAATCGGCGATGTGTTGACAGCTTGTAGGAAAAGACGGGGATTGGGGGACCGACGATCAGCTGGTGTGGCTGGAATGACACTTACCTGGGCACCAGTGTCAACCAAGAAACGTCTGCCACTCCTGGTGTCGCGGACGTAAAATGTGTGACCAGGGTTAGAGCTGCCGGAAAGATTGGCTGCACAAACCTCCGGGTTGACCGGTTTTACCCGTTTGCTCTGCTTGAAAGTGAAGGAGCAATGAGAGATGCATCGAGGGGATTTAGCACCGAAGGTGGTGTGGTACCAGCAGGTGGCAGCTGCGTTTGGACGGGCTGGATGTGAAGACTGGACATGCGGGGTGGACGGCTTCGGTTGGCTCCGAGTTGAGGTACAAACTGTGGGCTTCTGGAGGGCGGCTACATCATCGGCCAGCTTGTTGAGCTCGATCTCCAACTGCGAAACGGGAGACGCAGGAGGAGTTGAGGGGGTTGAGAGTACTGAAATAGACGGCTTGGAAAAACCGTGCATCTCCATAAGCCGATCGGCCATTTGAGTAAGTTGCGTGGCCGAAAGAATGTCGAAGGCGGGTGCCAAAATATGCTGCACTTCCGGTGGAAAATTGTCCATTATCAACACCTGACTTTGTCGTAGATTAGAAAGAACGAAGATTGCTGTTCGTAAGGAGTCACCAATTGTCGAAGGTTGTGTGGTCGACAAGATAAAGATTCCCAATCAAAAGTCAGGGAAGACGGAATGAGTGGGACAAACTTTACTGCTTGGAAAGCATGTACACAAAGGCTGTGTGAGCAGTCGCCGCAAGCGTGCTCTCCAGACAAGTTGTTGTCTGTGTCCGCCTTCGAGGTGTTGTCAGCGCGTGTGTGCGCCCCTCGATGTCGCCACGTCCGCCAGCCAATCAGAGTGGGGACAGCGTTGATTGGCTTCGAGCACTCGGGCGTCCCAGTAGCGTATCGACACAGAGTGTGAGGCGGACAGAACGGCAGCGTGACAAAGGCGGAGGGCGAGGAGACGCGGACTGCCACACCTCCTCCACCATCACCAACACTCGCCCACCGCATGCACCAACTGCCACCTTCCACGCAAGTGGGAAGTGTGCATCTCGACTCGGTCCCCACGCGGCTTCGGCTGCACGGGTGATTTGAGTCCGAGACTATCCCGACACGTCAAGTGTCGTGGATAGGAAGGTTGCTGATTGACGCCCGCTCTCGGTTCACGCAGTTCGTCGCGTTGTGTGTGTGTGCTGTGTGGAGTGGCGAACTGGTGGGCTGGGAACGGGCTGAAGCAGCACCTTCCACGGCCCTCTCACGCAAGTGAGAGACACGCCGTTCAACCCCCGTTGTGTGAAATCCTGGTGTTTGTGTGTATGGGGGGCCAGGTCGTGCTGTGGCGCGCAGTCACGGTCAGTCGACCGTGACAGCCACCGCGCCCGTTCCTTACTCCAGTTTGCCGACCGGCTCGGACGGCGGCTTGGGTGTGGGAATGGGAAGGAAGAGTGAGGTCGACGACTCAGCGCACTTTCTCCTCACTTTGATCAATCTAACGCGCTTGAAGCTATCACGGTGCGCTAAAAGCCGTGGCTTGGAAGGTTGCCAACTGACGGGGTAACTTGGATTTCCTCCTTGACCGGTGGTGGTCTGAGAGTCAGGCTGCAATGGCTCCTTTTTAATGTGGCCATTATGGCACTCTCAAGACAGTGTGGGATCCGAGCCAGGCGTTGGCGGCACGCCCAGGTGCGTTTTCGGCCGTGCCAGCCTCCAAATCTCTGTTGTTGGTTGCAATCCTGGTTATTGTTGTGTGGACCAGGGGGTGCGGTGGAACGCCAAGGTGGGGATCCGTCCGAGCCATCCACCTGCGGCCTCCCTCGTCTCCGGTCTTCTTGACTCTGTCTTGACACTGGGCTCGGGCGAGGGAGGAGAGAGTGTAGGTAGATGCAGCGCAAGTCTATTGGCACCATAAACCCCTGCGCAAGTCAACGTCCCTGCTCCCACCGCCGCTGCTATGGGGCACACGGTGGACATAATCGAAATCGATGGTCGAACTGTCAAGTCCTTCGTTCTTGAACTACCTGTTCATATCCAAAAATAGCAAAAGAAGCAACTGTTACAGCAGTAATTCTGAGAATTTCAAGACCAATCGCATGTTTGGTCAGGCATAAGCTGACGCCACGAAAGAAATCTTGATTATACGTACAAAAATTCCTTAGCAAATGAACGTCTTATTTGCAGTTAAATATTTCGGCAGTTTCTGGATGGACCACGGCGTAAAAGAACCCTTTCCATGCTCCAGTAACCGTCTGTGAGAAGACGTTCCGTCGGACGTTCTTATGGGCCAACTTTCCCTGAAGTTCAAGGGGTAATCACGCGGACGGCCCACCCAAGCCAACTCGAAGAGGTCACCAAAATCTAGAGCATACTCACAGCCTGTGACAATTCGATAGGTTTAAATGAGGTCATCATACATTCACCTATCAATGAGGGAAAAAAATTAAATGAAGCCAGTCTGACTTTGTGGGGCAGATAATCATTGTTCTTCACCATCTCCGTAGCTCTTGCCTGCACTTGTTCCAGATATTGCTAAACCGTATAGCACGAAAGCTAGGCCCGAGCGGTATATTTCATGTGAAACTGGGCGAATTTTTCGTAGGTATTTCCGAACGGTCCCTTGCCAATCTGTGCAACTTCTTGTCTCATCTCAAATAACACATGCATGAAGTGCTTAGATGTCTATAGACACACACACGATTGTTTAAGCGGGTTATTTCTGTCTCCGAAATTTTAAAAGGGACTGCCCATAAAGGATTTATCAGAAGGAATCATCGCCATCAATGGTCCTTCAGGTAAGAATCTTAGGACCACACGCGTACCAACGTTAAGATTTATGAGCCAACCGACAGACCAGCTGTTGAGTCGGTTGATACTCTCTTGAAATGCGCGCATGCCTGCATCCTATCTGATGACAAATCCGACGGTGTTACAATCCAGCTTGTCAATACAATCGTTGATGTAGACTAGGAGGAGCGACGACCCTAAGACACAGCCCTGTGGATGCTGTTTAGGAGGGAAGTTGGGATCGACTTGGAGCCATCTAAGTATACGGCGTGCGATTCCACGTAAGAAAATCTGCAATCTGTTTCAGCAGATTTCCCCCTATTCCAATTTCAGACAGTTTGTAGACATACGCTTATGCGGGATGTTGTCGAACTACTGCACGAAATTATGTAGATTACTTCAACCACTGTCGCCCATTGCGAGAGTCCATCGCTCTGTCGAGAGTAATAAAATGGAAAGACAAGTGCCGCTTTGTCTGGAGCCGTGCTGAACGGCTGATAGTAAGGGATTCTCCTCCAGGAACTTCTTAGCCGTCTTCTTAGGTATGATTTCCAGTATGTTACAGCAGATACGAGGTAGGCGGAGGTATCGATCGTTGTTAAGATTATTTCGAGCACTAACCTTGCATATCGGGTAGATAATGGCTGAAATTCATTCGGATAGCAGTCTCTCTAATTCAGACGACGGATGAAAAACATGCACTCGTGGTTTGAATGGTCCATTCGCCAAATCCCTGAAGAACTGGACCAGTATACTCTTTGGACGCGACGGATTTGCTTAACTGAGTTTTTTGCAGCTCTCTTTCGACGACAGATGCTGGGATGAGTTTAAATTCAACTCAGGGATTTGGATTTGCAAAAGCACTTCGACATTATAGTTCTGAAGGTCGGCTTTCCTGGTGAATACGAAGACGAGGAAATAGCCGAGTTGTTCGGCTTCCTCCCAATTTTCAACGATTTCTGCGCCATTGTCATCCTCAAAATCTGTGACCTGGTCCTTGTTCTTTGGTCAGCTGTTAATATGGTAGAAAAAATCTCGCGCTCGGATTCAGCCTGCTCAACAATTCAAAATTCACTGTCATTCCTTACCAGACGGATTCAACTTTCAATCTTACTTCGTTGGTGTCGGAATTCCTCAAGATAATCAATGAACTTCTCCCAATCTTATTTTTCTTCTCAAACTATCTTTTGAGTTCTCCTGTTAACCAGACGTGGGAATTAGTTGTTTTCGCACCTTTGTTGAACCACAGCACCGAATCAGATCTGGTAAACTCGTTTGAAACAGTGGCCAGCCGTCCTCTGAACCCATCTTTAGCAAGGATTTCCAGTTCATGAACATCGGTTTGCTCTTTATCATGTCAAAATCTGCCCTCCACATATTTCGCTGGTCTTACGTTCTCTTCTGACGCGAAGGACAGAGCGGGAAATTGGACAGTGGCATAACGTGGTCACTGTTACCGACCGGCGCCGCTGTTAAAGAGGCTTTTTTTTATAAAAATCACACCCAAGCAATTGATTCTCTGGTTCTCCCCATATCTTGTTGGTGTCTTTACATTCTGTGCCAGAGGGAGATTGGGTGTAAGATCCATTAGCTTATATCTAGTGGAAGTTAGCATACTAATCACTGCTAGATTTTCCCAGTCTGTTGCAGGTATATTCAAGTGTCCAGCAATAAGGAACTTTTAATGGCTATCCACTTTCTGGACGGAATAAAGGAACGACTCATCAGCTGCAGTCGAAATGTTTGGTAATCTGTTAGCTGTCAGGAATTCCAGTTTTCTTCCGAATTACTCCCATTAATCTTTATTCAGGCAAATTCATGTTAAGGATGAAGAGTTTTTACCCATTCAAATGCCGAAATTTATGTACTTACATCAACGACAACCCCACCACCTTGTGCATTTTGATGGTCACTGCAAATGACCTGGTAGCCTTGTATAGAAATCTCGGCGTCTGCGAGTTCGGCTTGAGCCGCGTCTGCTTTACGGCAAAAACGTCGGGGTTTCATTCTGAAATCATTACCTTGAGTTCCTTGATTTTCAAAACGAGACTTTGAGCACTAGCATAAAATCCTGGTAAATGTCGTGTGCAGGCGTCTGTCTGTGTCGCGGGATTAAATACAAAAACCAGGAGATTATGATCGGGAAGAACGAAAGTAACCTGAAACTACTGCCATCGATCCGTATGAAAGTGTGCCACCACCCCCTCTTTCCTTTTCTTCTCCGTCATACATATCTTAGGAATGAAGGCGAAGTTTCGAGTTCCAGATGTATGCATAAGTGAAGAAGAAGAGTCGAGCACCGGAACACTGCGTTTATTATCCTGAGCTTTCAGACTCGTACAGGAGTCCATCGTCAGAGGAAGTGGCAGAAACAGGATAGACGACAGTTATAAGGCACGTAGGCCCAATCATCGACCGACGTCGCACGACTGGAGGTGACTACGAAGGGCTCTGTACGCCAGATCGATAAATCGATTGACCGAGTTCTCATCCGACACCTACGAAATTGGTCACGAGTTTGACTTCGCAGCCACCAAAGTAGTCGCCCACGCCGGAAACAAGACAGGTCGAGAATTGATTGAAGCCTGGGCCTCGGATGAGAACTCGGTCAATCGATTTATCGATCTGGCGCCGGCGCACAGAGCCCTTCTTAGTCACCTCCAGTCGTGCGACGTCGGTCGATGATTGGGCCTACGTGCCTTATAACTGTCGTCTATCCTGTTTCTGCCACTTCCTCTGACGATGGACACCTGTACGAGTCTGGAAGCTCAGGATAAGAAA